TTAGGAATGCGTCGTCACCCGGAGACCGTTTAAAAGCAGCTTTGGCTGGCTTTCTAATAACGAGGAGGCAGGCGCCCCACCTCGCCACGGCGGGGGCGAGGGTCTGTCGCTCTCTGTTTACCACAGCCAAGGGGGAATTTAAATTTTCTTTTTGTAAAATGATAGCTGCAGTTGAATGACTTAAAACGGCTACAATTTTGGGGATTGAAAGAATCTGAAGTTTCCATTAAGGAGAATGCTTAGGGGCTTCTTTCCCAAAGGTTTTTATTAGGTGAACTATTTTTCCTTTTTAGAAAACCCACTGTGAAAGGCTAGCTCTCTAGTTACTTGTAGCTCAAGGCTAATACCTTTCAAAGTTAATGAACTAGTTTTAAGATACATGATTTCTCTGGAAGCTGATTTAGGTAGTGATCCACTAATGGTTAGAGAATTACTATAGTAAGTTGTATTTGATCAAATCACAGCTAATCAAGATTTAATCATTTATAGGTGGAGAAAAGAAGTGTTCAGTGTAACCCTGTTTACACTGACAACACTTTTGATACAATAATATGTTGTAGTAGACTGGGCAGCACACATTGGAGAGATGCATAGGATGTTCTGTGGGTGACACTTTCTAGCAAGTACCCGCAACCCAGAATTCCTAATGCCTTTTTGTCCCAAAGGTTTCAGTCTCTTCTAATGTCACTTTTAAATCCGATGACTTTTTAATCGTTTGGTTATTTTGCCTTCTTCCCTAAGTATGTATATTTTTATGTATGTATCTGACCTGGCATATTTCATTATGACTTTTTAGCCATTTAAGTGTCACGTATCTACCTTCCTCCAAACACCAGCCAGAGATAAAGGGAATTGCTTGAACATGCAGGGGTACTTGAACTTGATTCCATTTTAAGGTCATAGGCTGCTTTCTAACAAGAAAAGTTGAGTGGGATGCCGCAGATTTTAAATGTGACAAGGGTAGATATATGTTCATTTAAAAAGATCCCCCACTCTCACTTATTAGTTCCTCCTCCCTCACTTGACAGGTTTTCAACCTATAGATGAGTGTTTTAGTTTTATATTAGTTACCAAGGCTGAAAGAGTAGTATAAAGGGAAGATAGTGAGAAATTGAGGTCTGCCTGAGACCAGGGAGAAAAAACTTTGGAGTTTAAAGAAATGTTACATTGTAGAAACAAACCATTGCTTAGCTGAGAGACTTTGGGAAGAAGAGTTAACTTGGTGAGAGTAAAAGCAGATGTCCTTGTGTCTCACCTTCATAAATAACTGATTTTTGACTTTAAGGAGCCCTTAGTGGCCTAAAGTATTATTACAGAAGTGGTGTTACATGTACATTGTTGAAAATTAGAAATTACAGAGGAGCAAATATAACACATTTCTACCACCTACAAATCATCATTGTATTGTTCTCCAGGTAATTGTGTATATGTATGTATGTTTTAATCAAAATGAGATCATACTGTATATACAGTTGTGTGAGGAGATTTTCTTTTCCTGTTAGCTAGCTTTCATTTCATCTATTATTGGGACATAATCAGGTTTCCTCTTGGCCCCAAAATATAACAGCAGCTTTGTCTGAAACAGTGTCCAGTCAAGGATTGTTTACTGCATCTGGTTGTTTCCTGTAAGGTTTTAATCTGTAGTGACTTTTTGATAGAACTGACATTGAGGAGGCGTGCCTTTGGAATTAATCATGACTGGACTTTAAAATCCTATTTTGATTCCAACTTTTTAATTGTAATTTGGAAGTCTGATTTGTAGATTATCTGTTTGAAAACTAAAGAAATTTGCTTGATGAATGTATCCACAGACTTGTTGGAAAGAGTTATCAACTGTGTTTGTGTTTCAGTACTGAGGTGGTTGGGAGAGCAAACATCAAGATACCAAACACTGACCATATCCTGTATCTTTAGGGTTTGTCAGGAGTGAGAAGGTGGCATATGACTCACAATTCTGCCTGCTTCCTTGCTTCCCTGTTGGTGAAGCTCTTCTCGTTTAGGATTATGGGGCATCTGTTAGACTGTTACAGTTAACGGTCCATCAGAATTTGCATTATAAGCCCAGTTTTCCCACATGGTTAATAAAATAGATATCCTCTGGAGGAAAATATGACATCTTAGCCAATATTATGCTTTGTTTTTGGATTGACATTAAAAAGTTTGGCTTGGTTGTTCAAACAGTGGGAGTTATACCAGTGTTAAACTTAAAAAAATTTTTTTAATTGAGTTATAGTTTAAACTTCTTTCCTCACCTTCCTGTTCAAGCCTGTAAAAGAATACTGTCACCATATTCAACTATATATGTATATATATATTTTTATTTTAAATAAAGGCTGTCTTTACTTGGAGTTGTTAGTTTCTTAGATGGTATCAGGAACCTTAATTGGAAAAGTGTTTTAGTTCCTGAGATAGTTAAGTCGTTCCCTTAAATTTTAGTGTTCAGTGTATTTTCTCCATTTTCAAGATTTTGCAGCACTTTATGTTATCTTGTATTTAAAATTTGGACAATTAATGTGTTATTTGCAGTATATGTTATTTCAGAAAGTTGAGACTTAACTGAAAGAGTCTATTGCCATTTGCCTGGTGTACTTACACAAAAATATTACTCTTTGATCATGAGGGATATATATTTTGATGTTTTCACAGTTGGTGGGCTCTGATGGAGTAAGTTAACTCTGCATTCCTAATAATGCAAGAGTGACCATGGAGGGCCTTTTTACCTTTGAGTCGAAGTGGCATCTTGTCTTAAGTTTAGCTCGGATTGAGTGTCATGGAACAGAGAGAAAATCTAGCTTGAGAGGATACTGATCCTGACTCTTGGCAGTGTTCTTGTGGCCTAGCCTTATCTAGCCTAGTCCTTGAATAATTATTGAGGATGTCTTTCCTCTCCTGAATGCAACAAAAATAGATTGCCAGAAATGGAATGGAAAGCTTAGTAGCTGGGCAAGAGATGGGATATTTCCATTTTTGAGTCCTTTGTTAATGCTAGACCAGTAGTATATGATGTGCACTTAGCAAATGTTCAGGGAACCCCTACGTCTTCCCCTTTGCAAGGACTAACTTTTCATGAATACTCTAAAACCAGTCCAATATTTACTTTTTGCTTTTGATTTCTTGGGTGGAGTTATGACATAATAAGGTGATTGAGGACAGTAGAAGTAAGTTTATTTATTTACTTGAGTAAAGGTAGATTTATTTAGAGAGATACGCACTGAATAGAGTGCAGGCTGTTTCAGAAGGCAAGAGAAAGGCCACAAGGTGTGGGGATTGGAAGCTCAGGTTAAAGTAAAAGTAGATACACACTCCATAGACAGAGTGTGGGCCGTCTCTGAAGACCAGAGAGAGAGGCCTATTTATTTACTTCTAAAGCTTTAGGTTCTTTTGGACTTACTTGTTGAAGGAATTAAAACAGAATTTTCTCTTGTTTTTGGAAGTACTCCCAATTGTCAATAATAAGTACCTTTTAATATCGATCATTTAATGTCTGCACAGGAGATCTTATTAATTTGAAAATTAATGACTGCTTCTAAGACAGTTTCTAAAGAGTTATTTTAAGTGAAGTTTGAAAACTTTTACTACTAATGCAGGGTAAACAGCAAGAATTGGCAAGGTTAACAAGTTGCTGGAGTTTGAGCTGTGTGGCTTGCTTTTGTTTAGCACAGAGTACTCTTAATGTGATTTAAGATTTTTCTTGATTACTCATGGTCATTTTTATCAGCATTAATTATTTCAGTGTTGAAATACAATGATGCACTTAAGAGGTGTAGGCTGAGTACTGGTGGCTTGTAGCTTTTTTAAGGTCAAGGACATTTTTGAGATCCAAAACCTGTGGAACCTCTTCCTCAGAAAAAGCAGGTTGCACTGAAATTTTCATGTCATTTCAGGGTTTGGATGAATACCTTTAAGTGCATCCTTGGATTCCAGTTTAGTATTTAAATTCTGGTGAATTCTTTTTTTTTTATCACTATTAACCGTGTATTATAGTAAACATGCCTGCCTACAACATTTTTCTGCTTATTGGTTACTGGTTTGAAAATCAGATAAGCATGTTAGAAGTTACAAGTTAGTACTATATGCTGACCCCAAGTAGGAGCCTCAGGGGTTTTCTTTTGAGAAAAATTCATGGGTTTCTAGACATGGCCTTTATTTAAGTCACTTAGAGAACACCCTCTCCTTACTGCCAGTGTATTGATTTACAGCAAGGATCAGTAAACTTTTTAGTAGAGGGCCAGATAGTAAATATTTTAGGCTCTGTGGGCCTGATGGTCTCTGTTACAGCTGTTCAGCTCTGCCACCATAAGTGCGAAAACAGTGGACACAAGAGGTAAATGAATGAACATGGCTGTGTCCCAATAACACTATTTACAGGCAGTGAAATTTAAATTTTGTATGATTGTCTGGTGTCATGAAATGTTCTTTGATCCCTTCTCCCTAAACCATTTTAATATGTAAAAACCATTCTTAGCTCAGAGGCTGGACAAAAACAGGCTGTGGACCCCTGATTTATAATGAGACACAGCATTACCTGGTCATTGGATTGTTTCTGTTGGGACTGAATTCCCCTTCTGATAGGAACCTGAAATAACAGCTTGAAGTCAGAAGTTTGTTTGATAAATAGGGAGGGATCTGGCTAGTCTAAAGGCTGTGGCTCTTAACTCTGGTTCCTTGATCCCCTCTGAGGATAGGATGTGTGACATGGGATCCTGTGTACCTAGGAAAGCACAACCAGGTAGTCACACCATGCAGGGGAGCCAGGCAGAGAAGCCCTGTGTAAGGGAATGTACATTGTAACCTGGGGATCCCTACAGAGGCAGATAACCTCTCTCCAAGTAGGGTGTGTGTGTCATGCCAATCAGAAGTTAATGCCTGCTGCTCAGGGGATTCATAACCCTGTGATAGTGTTTGGGGGATGACTAGCACATGCCCCTTCCTGCTCTACCTTTTGTACACTTCACCGGTTAAAATGGCATTTGCAACCATCTTCCCATCAGCTTGCCAGGAAACTTTCAGGTTCTAAGTTAACAGACTATCGTTTATTGAGTACATTTTAGTTGTCTGCTCCCTGTTAACATATAAGGCATGGCCTTAATATTAAAGATAACCTCTTTCTAAATCCTAGTAGGTGTCTAGTGGGAGGCCTGTGCAGGCACCTGGGGGGAGGTGGGTGTCACAATAGGGCCACCCACCTTGAGAACTGGTCTTTGGTTCAGCCACTGGCTTTGCCCTAGACCTGTCTGCATCTTTACTCTTGCTGCTTAACCTCTCCAGAATTCATTGTATGTACTTGCCTTTAACATTAGGAAAGGTAAATTAAATTATCTTTAAAATGTTTTCTAGTGCCACAGTTACGGTTTTATGGGTTTCTTTGGGGAGGATTTCCTGTAGACATAATCCATGGTTGAGACTCTTTTCAGCTTTAGCCTCAGAGAATACTTTCCAGACCTTGGTGCTAGGTTTTGAGACTGTCTTATGTTTCCATGACCATAATAAAGACTTGTACAATTGTGATGAAATATTTGTTTTCGTATGTAATTCAGATGATGTGTAAATGGAGTTTTTGTTAAGTGTGCCATCTAGGTCTTCTAATGTACGACATTGGGAATCTGACTTTTTTTTTTAAACAGTACTTAAAAAATTTTTGGTGACTTAACATTGTTAGTGGTAACTGATAGTTTCTGACAACCGGCTATAATCAAGGAACAAAGTTCCTCAGAACAGCTGCATTTCAGTCTGTGTGCAGTGTAATTGTCGTTAGCTGGTTGAGTCTGGTTTCTGCAGAAGCTGCTTTGTATATCCTGTATAAGAACATCTGGTTTGAGCATTTAAAAATCTTTTAAAATTACCCTGTAGTCACTTTGCATTTATTGGCTTATTCTTCCAAGGGTGGAATAAGGAGTTGTAGACTACTTTCCTATCCTTATCTTTACCTTTGTTTCGTTCAGAAACCAACTCCTAACTAACGCTTTTCTAAAGTGTTATTCTTCAGTGAACTTAGAGTTTCACCTGAAGATTTGCACGTGTGTGTGTGTGTTTGGTGGGGGGGGTAAATAAGAATTTGGTTCAGAGACCACCCCCCCAGGGCAGAATGGAACACATCTGATTTCAGTGAAGTGCTTTAGAAAAATGTATTTTCATATATTCTGAAGAGATTGGTTTCACCTTTTCCCTGGTAAATTGTCAAAAAGTATAAAAAGGACCTACGGGGCAAATATCTCACAAATTCTGACTGGGTGATAGCACTGTGTTAAGGAGGATTCTGAAGTCATGTCTGGGCTTGTAGGAAAAAAGAATGACCTAATTTATTAACCATGCCTGCCATTGGTAGAGGAGGAAATAGAGTATTTGGTAAACATCTCTGGAATGTAGCTTTTTTAAACTTTTTTTCCCAAAAATAGTGCTGCTCTTGAAATGGATAGGAAGTTGAGTATTTTTTAAGGGTAGTTTAAACTCTTGTTTTCCTGTCTGGATTAGTTTTCCTGTTCTTACTGCATATACTTTTAGTGACCTGCTACTGGCATTGGCTATTCTTATGTTTTTAAAACTTTTGCTTTTGAATTAAATAATGAATGGGTGATAATAGCACTTTATGGCATTATCCTATTACCTTTTCTGTTTTTTTTTTTCCTTCCCTCCTGCACTATTTCATCAGGTATTCTTTTGAAGCAAGGCAAGCCTTTGATAGCCCATCTCAGGAAGGAGGTGGGGTATACATAGTTGATTTGATGGCTGCTTATTTTAGGCTGGATTCTGTGTGGGGCCAAGAAGTTGTGCTCCCAGGGTCTTTTGTAATATGATGAGGAGCAGGGAAGGAAGGTTTTGGATTTTAAGTCTTTACTATTATAAATAGAGTAGTACAGGATCATGGTAAAAAAAAATTAAAATCATGTGAAAGGTCATACAGAGAAGTAAAAGTTTAAAAGGTCCCAAACTAGTCTATCTGGAACACTTAAGTCAAATTTCTTAGAGATAAACACTGTTAACTTTAATGTTCTTCCAGAAATTTTCCATGAGTATGCAAGCAATTGGTGTATATATTCTCTTCCCTCCTCTTTTATATATAAATGGGCCAAATTTCAGGTTTTTTCCTCTACAGTTTGCTGATGATAAGTTTTCAGCATCTTCCGTATCTGAGCATATAGATCTAACAGAAAGGAGTTCTTAATAGATGGAAATAGGGATAGAAGCTCGAGATTGGAGGCCGTGCTGACTTATTGCCTTTACTGTTTGGGGCTGTATTCATTTACTCCCATGTAAAGGGGAGTTAACAAAAATATATTCCAAATACAGATGATTGGGGTGTTTTGTCATAGCTGCTCTTCAGGTGCTGGCTCTAATTGAGTCAGTAATTACAGAGACCTGGGAGGGGTTTAATAGATTGTTTTAGGGCACATAAGCAGGGATTGGGTTATTTACAAATTGGCAAATGGGAGCTGCCTGTGAGTCATTCAGAACCACTCATTTGTAAATTCCTTGAAATCTTGAAAAATTCTTTTATTGACTTTTAAGGTCTGAGTTTAAAAATAGTTTGTAAAGAATTTATGGTGAACTAATGTGTAATTTGGGCTTTATTAGTAACATAGGAGTAAATATTGCATTTATTATCTGGTCAGTTCTTACAATATTTTTGAGGTGGTTATTTATTGCTAATACAAACTCTTCAGCTGAATATTTTCAAATATGATGTCTTTGCAAAGGCTTTATAGTAGCTTGGGCAGCATTTCCTTTTAAACAAATTTTGATGTATGACATTATAAAGGACACATTTTTAAAAGTTCCATTTTTCTAGGTTAAAATATTTAGACAAGGTTAAAACTTCAACACTTAGAGCAGAGCAGTTTGTCAGTTAAATCAAGTCTATGACTACTTTTTTGACCAGATGTAAATAACTTCTTGGTTAAAGTGAGAAATCTGGGTTTAAGTTATAGTCACACTAGTATTTTTAGACTCTGAGCATATGAATTAGTGTTGTCAATTTGAAAACTTACTATCTAGGCGATTGTTTGCTTTAAAAACTGAGGTAAGAAATCAGCTGGATTTCCTTCACATGCATTTAGGGACAGGAGGTTACTGTGAAGTATAGGTCATTATTATTTTTGGGTACTTTGTTCCATTGGGTGCTGTATACTCCATAGAAGTCAAAAAGATGACCTATTAAGACAATGTAAATCTCTTCATGGAGAAAGTAGTTTATGACCAGTAACTTAGGACTCAAATTATTAATTACATAATGTTTAGAAATAATATTCAAATTGTGTGAACTTAGCAAATAGAAACAGCTCATTATAAAATACTTTTTATATAAAGACTGCTTGGTGTCTGAAAATATGTTCTTCAATATATGTTTTTGTATTACACATTTTCTAAATACGTTTAAAAATATAGTATGTTTAAGTATTAGATTACTAACTTTGGCAGAGAATGGAGGGACACCTATACATTTAAAGGTAAAGTAATGGAAGTTATTCTAGTTAAAGGTTAATTAGATATTGAAGTGAAACATCTCTTTCTATATAGCTGAGTGAGCATAGGATATAGTTTATGTACAGGAACTCAGTCATTCATCCCATAGGTTTTTTGTTTTGTTTTGAAGCATATTTGGATCCGATATGTCAATTTCTAGTGTACAGCATAATGTCCCAGTCATGCACATATATACATATATTCATTTTTATATTCTTTTTTCATTAAAGGTTATTATAAGATATTGAATATAATTCCCTGTGCTATACAGG